AAATCTTGTCTACTAACTCATTAATTTAATTGGGATGTATTAGTTTGATATAATACACAAATATATGTATATATGATACAACTACTTGTTACTCGATAATGTCCAATGGCATTGCCAGTGGCAGTTTACATATCTGCTGGTCTGTGTACCAAAAAAAAAAACTAGTATCATATATACTAGTCCGGACTGTATATAAAATTTGACAAGTTGACGAGGAAAGAAGGTGGAGAGAGCAAGAAAAGAATAGAAGAGGGAATAGGGAAATCTCTGGAGCATACGTCGTAATCCATGTTGCCACATGCAGGCGGGATGGGGATTGACTTTGGCTACTTGGTACTAGTTGATAATTTGTTATTAGGGTTAATTACATTTACCTCCCCGAGGTTTGATCATATTATCAATTAATCCCTGTAATTTGTCCAAATAACGATCTCACCCTTTGAATGATCAAACATTTAACAAAAACCCCCTTAATGCCGAAAATGCCCTTATTGAGGCCATGTTGCATTAAAAAAAGAACATATTTTTATTTTATTAACCCTGAAACAATCCAAAAAAATAGAAAAAAGTTTTTGCTTATTATTTTATAAAAACCACATATCTTTGCTTCCATAAATAGTTTTGAATCAATAATTATTTTAAATCTTAAAATGAATATTAAAAATTAGATAAATTGAAAGAAAAATAAAAAAAAAGAAATTATTTTAATTCCTGAAGTATGGTTCAAATTGAGGAAAACATGCCTTGTGCTCTCCGCAACATGCCTTGAATCACAAATTCGAACCATACTTGAGGATTTAAAATAATTGTTTCTTTTTTATTTTTCTTTCAATTTATCTAATTTTCGGCATTAAGGGGGTTTTTGTTAAATATTTGATCATTCAAAGGGTGAGACCGTTATTTGGACAAATTATAGAGATTGATTGGTAATATGGTCAAACCTCAGAGAAGGTAAATGTAATTGACCCTTGTTATTATTGGCTACTTTGGCTGCTTGGTACTAGTGGTAATTTTTTTTGAAAAAAAAATCTCTATCCAGTAAGTAGAATTAACTTAATCGTAGGAAAAGAGATGAGTTAAATGGTACGAGAAAAAAGACTGTAAATATGAATTTTGAATACGAAACTTTTTATTTAGTTAAATTAAGAAAGAAAACCTCCTAATCATAGAGTAGATTATACGAGAGATACGGCGGACCCCGTGTGTGTGCGTGTACATTACTAGTTATTGCTAGTATTTATTTTGCACAAGGATCAGTCCAAAAACTAAATAGTGATTGATAATAACGGTAGTCAGCAGTAGTAGTAGTAATAGTTAGTTAGTAGCCGGAACCAGGCAACCGTGAACCAAGCCACAAATCCCAATTCCCAAGTGCCAGAGAGAGTACTAAAGGACAGACAGCAGCGCCTAGCCTACTGCTTCTAAAGAGTAAAGAGTGATGAAGAGCGAATGAGGGCATGAAAGCGAAAGCAGCCCCTGCAAAAAGCGAAGTACTCTGGTACTCCAATTTCCACTCTCCTGCTGCTAGGGCTAAGTCCAGGTCCCGTTTGAAGTTTAAACCCTCTCTCCCTCCGATCCTGGATGTTTACTACGCTTTCCCGTCTCGCCCGACTTACCCTCGGTTTTTCTCTCTAGCTGCTTGCTTCTCATAATCCTAGTAATAATTGTGTATTTAATAGTTTACTCCCAGACCCAGTAATCAATCAGACTACTACTAGGACTTGCTACTAATAATTCCCATTCCCCGTCCCCACACCCATAGTGCCATAGAGAGAGAGAGAGAGAGAGAAGCGAAGATGAATGAGGGGGGAAATGGAAATAGAACTGGAAATGCCAGTGATGGGATGGTGGTGTGGGGTTTGTGAGGGCGGACCAGATAGATCTGAAGAGCATAGACGAGCAGCTTCAGAGGCATCTCAGCAGGGCGTGGACCATGGAGAAGAACAAGAAAAACACTGATGATAATGGACAAGGAGAAGATGGTGGGAGGGGGGTACCAATCACGTATGACTGGGAAATCGACCCCTCCAAGCTCATCATCAAGTCCGTCATTGCTCGCGGCACCTTCGGCACCGTTCATCGGGGCATTTATGATGGCCTTGACGTCGCAGGTCCCCCGCAATTCTCTTCTTTTTATTCATTCTACCCACTTTCTTCCTCTGTTTTTTTTTTTTTTTTGCTTTTTAATTATTTCTAAGTTTTATGCGTTCAATAAGATCACCTCATCTTAATATGTTTGATTGCCCTACTTTTGGTTACATTTCAGGCTGGGCAAATTCTGTCCTTTCTTGTACCTGCATTACAATTTTGCCTTTTTCAATAGTAATGCGTTTTCCATTGCTTTTTGCTATCAAGAATTTTAAGTGTATAATTTTGTTTGATCTGATTGGCGCGGTCACTTCTGGTTCAGGCCTTGCTTGGCATGTTCGTTATAGACTGGTCCTCTCCTTGTATGTATATGCATGCCAAGTTGCCCATGTCAAGTGCCATAAGGTCATGCCATTTAGCTGAATTAGTGTCTATCAGGAGTAATCTCGTTTATATCCGTCATCTGCATATCGCGTTTTTTTTTTGTTTTTCGCGTTTTTTAAGATGCTCTCCTACCCAAGCAACCCTTTGCCTACAAGTCCCAGTCTTGGAAAACTTAACGAATTACTATAACAACAAAAATTGATATGTCAAGCGGAATAATGTAATGAAATATCCATGCTGGTGAGGTCATAGTTTGACGAGTTTTCACCCTGTAGGATTGTGATTTAAGGTTCTGCTGAGATACAAGTTACCTTCTTCCTTTGTTTGTATCATCAGTAAAGCTTCTTGACTGGGGAGAAGAGGGTCAAAGGACTGAGGCTGAAATAGCTTCCCTTAGGGCTGCCTTCACTCAAGAAGTTTCTGTTTGGCACAGCTAGATCATCCTAACGTGTCAAAGGTAGGAGCTATCTATTCATGCACTTTTGTTTTTTCATTTTTCCTGCTGTTTGGTTATTTAATAGCTCAAGAGTTTAGTTCTCAGCAAGACTTTACTTCTTGATACTCATATATGCTGCTATCTTTTATCATCTTTTGTTTATATAGACTGATATTAATTTAAAATTCCTTCTACAGTTTATAGGAGCCACCATGGGCGCATCAGACCTAACCATACTGACAGATAATGGTCATGTTGGCATGCCACGTAACATGTGCTGTGTTGTTGTTGAGTATCTTCCTGGAGGAACTTTGAAATCATACCTCATTAAGAATCGGAGAAGGAAGCTGGCTTTCAAAGTTGTTATCCAACTGGCATTGGATCTTGCACGCGGGTGAAATTTACTGTTTCTTGTTATGCTATTTAAGAATATGATATTTGGTATTTTTTGCAAATTTAGAACTTGGTTGAATTTCAGAGATGTTCTTGAGACTGCAACTTGGGTTTCTCCGGGATTTGGAACTGAACTTTTCTTAATGTTTTACAGATTGAGCTATCTTCACTCCAAAAAGATTGTCCACAGGATGTAAAAACAGAAAATATGCTCCTTGATAAGACTCGAACTCTGAAAATAGCTGACTTTGGGGTTGCTCGTGTCGAGGCTTCAAATCCCAATGACATGACTGGTGAGACTGGAACCCTTGGTTACATGGCTCCTGAGGTAACCCAATTATCCAGCTAGGGTGCATATTTCTAGTGCATGTATGTATTTCGTAGCTTTGACATGCACTTTATAGCAAAAGATCATGTTGCTCTCTGTCAGCTTGAACCATCACATCCTCTAACCACTCAAATTTCTTCCAATCCTGTAAACCCAGGTTCTGAATGGTAACCCCTATAACAGAAAGTGCGACGTGTATAGTTTTGGCATTTGCCTTTGGGAGATATATTGCTGTGACATGCCATATCCAGATCTCAGCTTCTCAGAAGTAACTTCAGCTGTTGTGCGCCAGGTAAGTAACTTTTACTTCGTAGATGGATTTGCACTTGTTAACGCATTTTGTTTAATGGAAGATGTTTAAATGCTTCTATAGAAATTTAATCAGAAACGCGGGTTCAAGAATTAGCTGCCATGACCTCTTTATGGATTGACAAGATTGTCTACGAAAATACTTAATCTATCGCCTTTTAGGAAAGAATATTACCTTGCCTGAGTTTGAGTACTTCAGGATGAAGTGTGCAAACAATTTCGTAAATTATCATTGCTCAAGATACATGTGCGCAAACAACTATTAAGGTTGCTGTTGCTGAGATTTTGTTGTGGTCGAATACTGAAATTTCCTTTCTGCAACTACAGAATCTAAGGCCAGAGATACCTCGGTGTTGCCCAAGCTCTCTTGCAAATGTAATGAAGCGATGTTGGGATGCAAATCCTGACAAGCGGCCTGAGATGGATGAGGCAGTTTCCATGATAGAGGCGATTGACACATCAAGGGGTGGGGGAATGATTCCTCATGATCAAGCTCAAGGTTGTTTCTGCTTCCGCAAACACGAGGGCCTTGAAAATTTTGATTTCACTGTGACAGGTTTGAAAGCTGTAAACTGGCAACCAAGGTTCCAGGTTGGATTGAACATAGGAGGAGAAAATTGGGTTGAAGGAGAAATTAGATGACATGATTGGGCTGTCAACAATGACAGTTTGGCTTATAGATGATCAAGCAGCTGCAAAGCAAGTAGAATTTTGTCTTGGCATGGATATTGTAAAGCTTTCCGTAGGCCTTATTTAGCATCATTCTTCCCTTTTCTAATTATCTGGCTGGTCCTTTGCAAGACCGCAATATCATCTCCACAAGATTGGTATAGTATTATTTTTGAGTATAGTTGCATTATTATTTAGAGATGTTATGCTCTTAAAGTCAGTTTGATCCATCATGCTTTTGGAGCTGTGAATAACATATGATGGTACTTCTGCGGTTTACTATTTCATTGAAATCAATGTGCCGTAACCATAGATATGAATTCATACAATTCATGGTGGAATTCTGTTTGTTTTAAGCATAATGAATCGCAATCATTTGTGAAGCGGACAGAAGAAGATAATATCCATCAGGCAGCATAGCTTTTAAACTAATCTGTACTGATATGATTGAATACGCAGTACTCCAATATTAACTCTCTCCATAATTTCCAGAGGTATTGTACGGGTCTTTTCTGTACTTGGGTCAATGAAACCATCAGCAGGGCCTTCTGGATCTCCTGTTTGAACTACAAATCCATCCGCTGCAGAATGTCCAACAGAAGTATATCTATGAATGTGAACATGCACTTAAAGATTCATAAATTCCTTGTTTGTTATGTCATTTTTTTTTAACATCACCTCAACATGAATATTTAACATGGCACTAAAAATTTAATATCTACAACTTATTTACCTCTCTGAATCTCCATGCCATCGTAAAAATGCCTCTCTACCAAGTCTACAAAATTCCCAGCAGTTACTGGGGCATTATAACCATCCAGAACAATACGAAATATGCATTCATCCAGGCTGGGATTGTCTTTCACCTTGACCTTCATATCCACAGCTGCTCTCCCTTTCAGTAAAGGCATATTTTGATATTCTTCTGGTACTTCATATGGAAAGCCATCTACCATGTCTTCTTCAACACTGCAGAAACCCAATGCCGCAGGAAGATCTCAGCTGCAGTCAATGACAAGGGCTTAAATGAGAATACTGTACCTTAAACATTTACTTTTCCGTTTCCTTCCCAAGTTTATGTTTACAAGTCAATTTGCTTAAAAGCAAACAAGGGCTTCTAAAAATTTTTAATTTAAACCTTCTTTTCTAAGGCTCCATGCCCCATTTCCAAAAGGGAATAATAATAATAAATATAATTTTTGTTTTCCCAAAGAGAGACGTTGCTATGGATGTTCCAATCAAGGGGAAATACTGAACCGCTAGAGGCAGCTGTTAAAGCACAAAAGTGCAAAATGTGAAATGCATGTGTAAACTGATGATGGACCACTTTCCTTTTTTTTCTTGGGATAAGTAAATAGTTGGAGTTCTCAATTCTTTTCTGGAAAAATTCTAAGCATCGTCTTTTATCTATTTGTTTGTTTGTTCCATCCAGGATAATAAAATGAACAAATCAACAGTTTTCAACAAGCAATTGCAAACAATTGTGCCTGAGGGAAAATTCAACGGTGAAACTGTACTCAAGGAGTTCCAATCACACTCCAAGAGTTTCTAAAAGGCAATTTAAAAAAAAAAAAAAACCCCCTCTCCTGGCCCTGATTTATTATCAAGAAAGGTGGATGACACCTACTCATATAGACCACATTCTGTGTCTTTGAGAGTAAAGCAACTTTTTTAATTCGTCCATGTTTTTCCTTCAATTTCTTAGATTAGTGCAAGCGCCAGCATTCTATAGGTGCAACACATTTCTTAAGTGTACTTCAGCGTATAGTAAATGCAGAAAAGTTCACAACCCAAAAAATTGACCAATAAGAACACCAGTATCAACTTATAGTCAATGAGCAAGCATGAGTGATCAAGAAAATCAAAAAAGTTTCTCCAACTCACCCTCCCACATAGTTGAGCAGTTCCGTTTGCTTAGGGGATACAGCATCCCGATTCCTGTCCGCAATAATTTGTTCAAGTTCTTCCATCCCAGCCTCCAGTTTGTTAAGCATTTCAATGCCATGGTCAACCTTAGATTTTGCTAATCCTGACACAATCACAGTTCTACCCTGCTTGAGTGCCCGAGATGCTTGTCTGACATTCTACAAATAAACAAGATCACATACCAACAAAAATGATCACAATTCATTTCCATGACAATGTGATCTAATTAAGAGGGGGGGAAAATGGTAGATTCTCTCACTCTTTCAACAGAGTCGAGGGCCTTGACACCAGCAAGCTTGAGGCTGTCTGTAATATCTTCAAGCGGCTTCTGAACTTCCCTGATAGCCTTGTTATCAATGGGCAGTGCGTACCTCAAGAGCGCCCCGGGGTCCTTAATTGGCGGTCCAGAGATCAAAACCGATACATCTGGCAATGCTGGATTGCTGGTAGTATTGGCCAATGCTGGCACCCCAGTTAACAACCCAACTGCTAATGCTATAGAGATCGCGCATCCCTTTAGAGATGGGAAGAACCAGTTTTCCTGTTCAAAGACCCCCCCCCCCCCCAAAAAGAAAAGGAAAAATGTAAACTTTCATAAAAGTTAACCCAGACATTTGAAATCTAAATCGAAGAATTTTCAAATAAACCAAGCGAAGTAAGATAGAAAAGGGCAAAAATGGGGAGCTTGCCTGCTTAGGAGGAGACCGAAATGGAGGTGGGGTTTGGGAGCAGCATAAGGGCTTTAGCGGTTGAATGGGAGCATTGTTAGGAGAGGGAGCAAAGTGGAAGTTAGTGTGAGTAGCAGTAGAGGAGAGCTTATGGTGAACAGATTTTTTAAGGGGAGATGTGGCAACAAAGGAATATTGGTGGCAGGAAATGATGGCTGCCATTGAAGTTAGAGTCCAGCTATTGGCAGCGCGTAATTTAACAGAAGAAGAAGAATACCCACATCCAGTAGTAGGCTCTTGGTCCGAATGAAACACAACGGGGGAAGGGGCAAATTGAAATTCCACTAGCCTACTGCGGCTTGTTCGGCTGCGCACTATACGGTTTGGGAAAAAAGATTGTGGATATGCTGGGAAGAAAGGAGAGTGATAGGGATTGGTGTACAGGAGATAAGGTTTGGGATGCTTTGAAAGATCATCCGGACCAGACGATTGATTTTTTTTTTTGAGTTGGGACTTGGGAGTCGTACTTCTTTGTTGATGGATGAACCCTACAGCTTTAGGTCAACCTCACGCTCTGGATATGGGTAAGTTTTTCTTTTTTATTGAAAGAACGAACATGGTTAAGTTGGACTAAGCCGGTCAATCGAGCCATATAAATCGGGCTTTTCTAAATTCAAATTCAACTCATTTAATTTGTAATATTTTTGAGTTTTTGGTTAATAAATATGAAAATCATATTCAACGTACACAATATTCGAATTTTCAGTCTTATTCGAGTTTAATCCAAAGTTCCAAACTCACACATTACTGCTTAATTTTCTTAATATAATTATTATAACTATTAAATTGTAAAATTAATTCAACATTCAGATGACTACAACATTAAAATTAAATATGAACAAGTATTAATTCTTAAAAAGTATGTAAATAAAAAACTTTTCAACAATATTTATATCTAGTTCGTTCAATATACATGAAAAATATTAATAAAATATACGGTCATAAACTAATACATATTCAAGGTTTGGAACTTTTTCATAGCTGTGTAACTTAAATCCAAACATTCTTTGACGATTTGTGTTTCTAGACCAAAAAGACATCAATCAATATTATATCAATATAAAAATGTACGCAATCAATAAGAAAAGTTAGAGTTTCAGAGTTCAGTTATGCATTACTAATATTGCCTCTCAAGAAAGCTAATAGAGTTGTCTTCAGATGTATTTTTGTATTTTGTAATTTGTATATATTTAATATTTAGTAATAATATATTTGAATATATAAGTATATATAATATCAAAATATAAAAATTATATATATTATTATTATTATATATATATAGATAATTAAAGAGTCTGGTCTCGTTTTCGAGTTTGAACCTAATGAGACCCAAACTTAACTCATATTTAATTCGAGCCTACTTTTTATGCCCAAACTTGGACCTGCTCGTTGAAAAGTCGGGCTCATCAGACTTTTTCCTCGAATTGAATGTACCGAATTCGGGGTGTTCCGATCGCACTGACAGTACTAAGTTGGATATAGTCCATCACTTGTACCGCCATACTAGTCTTATCTCAAAGTTGGTTTGGTAATAATCCAATTCATTAATTAAATTTAATAAATTCAGATCTTAACATGCTCATACGCATTTAATAGTAAAAATTAAAATATATGAATCAATTAAGCGACACTAAATTTTTTAGGTAAAAATTGCTGTAAAAAATAAGTAATAAACTATTCACTTATCATTTTATATGATATACACTTAAATATATCACATTTACCTCTTAACAATTCAATAACTTAATAGATTCAAATTTAAACACATCCTTAGTATCTAAACTTGATAACGCCATACCTTAACATGGCCAGACGTATCTAATTACAAAAAAATATAACATATTAACTAATTAATTAAGTGGTTTTGGATTGCATAGGTAAAACTTACTCCAAAACATAAGTGAAAAGCAATTCATTTATTGTTTAATAGAAAATATATTTATGATTTTAGCACTTAACAAATTCAAATTTCAGATTTTACATTTCAAACCTTAACTTTCAAATTTCAGTTCTGTAAAATGCATCCCATCCTAAGTGTTATTACTGATGTTGCTCTCTCTGGGGACAGGCACAACAGTTCAAAAGTTATTGACAGGGGCTTTTGGGCCTTCATGGGAGGTCCATCGACTGGTCAGATTCACAAAAGACGGTGGATTTCGGCTTCTTCCATGAAAAAGTTAATAAAATTGGGCTGACAAAACCAGGTTCCACCAAACCTTGAAGGATGCTCATCCCTATCCCGTGACTCTTCTCCCCTCTACTCACTTTCAACTTTTCACAAAATTTATAGCTCTTTTTAAAAAAAAAAAATTTTGTACATTTGTATACCGATGTTAGTGCAAACTCCAAGTTTGAGGTTCATGAATTTTACAACCACGATGAGTCAAATCTATCCATCAGCCCAAGGTGTCAAAATGTTTTCTCTGTAGAGGTTTCTTTTGAAGGGGCCCGATTGAGGTGGTTGGGCCTTCACCCGTCCACCCCGTTGTGACTGTAGCATACAGGCGATACAGCAGGCCTGTCAATGGTCCGGGTCTAGACAGGATCCGGATCCGTGAAATTAATTTGGGTATGAGCAGGAATTTAATTCCGTTACCCGGACTCAGATCCGGATCCGTTTTGTCAAACAAAAAAATAGGTCGAATACGGAATATAGTATTCCGACCCATATTAGACCTGAATCCGGATATAAATGGATTAATAATTTAAAATATGTATATTTAGCAATATAATTTGATTAGAGTGATGTATTTGAGTAAAGTCAATTTGATTTATTTTCTTATTTGGTTTTTTTTGTATTAGTTAGAAATTAGTGTACAAAAATATTTTTTTCTCATTTTTGCTAGAAATTATAAATTTTCATAATTTTTTTCGGGTTGACCCGGACCCGAATCCGAAATGTATAGTAGAAGACCCGTCGGATAAACGGGTCGAATCCGGATCCGATTTGGTTATTCCGGGCCCAGACCCGACCCGTTGACAGACCCCTATCACCCGAAAAGGAATAGTGGCGCTTACTTTAGTCTTGGAAGCTGGGCTAATCAGAATTTGAAGTCTAGGTTTTTCTGTTCACAAAGGTAATATGCCTTTTTTTTTTTTTTTTTGGAAAATTGTTAATGGTGCTCTACTTTTTTTTTTTTTTTAAAATGGCACTTCCACTATTATTTTATCATCTGATTTTTATTTATTGTATTATATAATAAAACAAGTTATGAGGGTGTCATTGTTAAAAAGTGGAGTACTATTTTTTTTTTTTGAAGATAAAAATATCTATCCTTGATTCATCAATTCCACAAAGCACACTACTACCCGGTGCCGCCTATGAAAGATATCAAAATTTAAAATTATTCTCTAAATACATTACAAATTTATATAATAAAATATAGTAAAATTTTAGCTAAACTCCTTAAAAACACACATCATTCAAACGCACATAGCAATATGTACATTACTTTGAAAAGGTATAAACAGTGTGACAAAAGTACTAGCAGATAAATGTGTAAGGCTCCTACGGACTACAAGAGCTGCAAATACGAAGATGAGCGAATATGCGTATGGGAACCACCGGTCTTTGGACTAGTGGCCACCATCAATGCATTAAAGTTCGGCACCAATTTGCCACATTAAAGTAGTTCTGCTTTAAAAAATTCAGATGGATGTATAGTGCATCCATCAGTTCCCTTCGAATTATCTTTGAATTTCTTCATGTCCCCTCCCCTTAGTATATGATAATTTATCGTTTCAGAAAAAAAAAAAAAAAAAAAGAATATGCGACTGGGGCAAGTCTTTGTTTGGAGAGGAAGTCCCGCTTCGCTTATGCTAGAGGAAAAAAGCAGCAGCAGCACTACCTTCTCTTTTGCTCCCACTTTCAGATCATTAAAAATCTTCGGAATTTATCGACCATACAATACAGACGCACATTTACACTACACTGAACACAACACGCAGATAACATAAACTAAAATATCTCCACAAAAAGCAGATTATGTTCCTCATCAGGTGCTTCCTGATCCCTTCTTTTCTTGGTGTAGTTATTACTTTTGGCAGCCTCTCCCACTTCCCCTTCTCCTACCTCCTACTACTAGGCTAATTAGCTACCTCTTTCTTTGGGTTTGGTGTTTAATTTGGGGTTCCAAAATTCCATCTCATCATCCCTTCTACCTTTATCCAAAGTTGAAAACCCATGACGAAACAAAAGTTAAAAAGAAGTAAATTCTTCAATCCAATCCATCCCCTTCCGGTCAAAAGATACCTCCATTTTGATATGGGCTCTTACCTTAGCACGTAAGGAATTGAATAAACAAAAAAGCCATGCATCATGCATCCCCCCGCCCCTGCGGCACCTTCCTTCCTTTCTTTGCCTGTCCCTCTCTCACTCGAGCACTCAAAAGCCCACCACACGTCCTCTTCACTAAAGCTTTCTGCCACTTACCGTCTCTTTTCTCTCTCCCTCCACCATTTTCCCATTAATTGCGGTTACTTTAACGGGAAAAAAAAAACAGAGAGAGAAGTGGCCGGATTCAATTCACAGCAAAACCAGCAGGATTTAAGCTGAAAGCGGGCAGCTGGAAACCATTTTCACTAATTTGTTGGAAGTACCTGCACGGGAAAAAAAAAAAAAAAAAGAAGATGCATGCATTGGATTAATGCATTCGATGATTACTTTGCTACAGTACTCGTTCCATTTCACTAACACATTATTGTAGGGGCTCTAGTTTGACATTTGGATTTCTTGACAAAACGATATATAAACACGTCGTTTAATAGCAACGAGTTCAAAAAAGGTATACACACACATCGTCTAATAGTAATGCGATTGAATTTGCATGGATTTCTTCTCTAGCCAATCCACAGGTTACCTGTGTGATTAATATATATATATATATATATATATATAGATATATATACACGCGCGCGCGCGCGTCAAGGAAAAGACTTGGCTGGACCAAAGAATTAGAGGGATACAAGTACGCTTACCATCTTTAATTAATAATTAATCTTTTATACACTGACAGTGTATACACTTTCACCATTATATACATGACATATAATTCGAATTTGAATTTGAAACTCAAATTTTGCATATGTGTCGTGTATCCAACTATGATCGTATATATATCGTCAGTGTATACAAGATTTACTCTTAAACTAAAGTATGCACCATTGCACGACTTTTAAAATTTACTATAACCATGCTTTCATTTTGTGGTTAACTCTCTTGAAAACGAACGTAGATGTACTAGAAGAAGAGTATTGAATGACGATCGAGCACAGGTTCAGGAGTGTCTAATGAAATATGAAGCTATATATATAGAGAGAGAGAGAGAGAGAGAGAGAAGAGACATATATTATAGTATAAGTATTGACGTACAATACATATGTTGCGCGAAAATTTGTTGCAAGCTCGCGGCACACCGTCATTTGTCGGTGATAATCGCAGTGGAATCTGTTTT